CCCCCCCCGGGGAAAAAGTCAGTACTTAAGTGATGCCTGAGTACTCCAAGATATTGGCTTTGAACGAGTACTCGAGCATTTACTCAACTTGTTGGGGCAAGTACCTGCAGGAGGAGATTTACCCAGATTTTCAACTTAAATGAGTACTCCTAGGAGCCAATTACCTGAGTACTGTGAGATTTTTTATTATAGCAAGTACTTGAAGATTTAAAAAACTATTTAAGTGAGTACTGGTAAGGGCTAATTACCTGAGTACTCTTGAGATTTTCAATTTAAGTGAGTACTCATAGGAGCTAATTACCTGAGTACTCTGAGATTTTGGACTCGAGTGAGTACTCAAGCTTTTACAAAACCGCTGGAGTCAGTTACCACAGGGGCTGACTCTTCAGGTGACTCAAACACACACACATCCCTCCCTCCCAGTTATGAGGTAGGTGTAGTTTGATATGGCAGCGACTCATGTCCCACACACACACGTACAACACGTTCGCCGATGAGCCGCCAGTTACAGCTTTTGTCAGTTGTACATTTGGTGAGAATTTGACGGCACTAGCAACACAAGCAGGTTCTGTAAGTGCCGCAAAATGGAGGCGCTACAACACAGCAACAATCAAAGGAAAGATGGAGAGATTTATAGGAAGAAAGATGTTTGTTGACAGGAAAGATGGAGCAAACCCAAAAAGAGCACCCGTCAACCACCCACACTGTCTCACAATTTCAATTACTTGTACATGTCAAACTAATATTAATGGACAAACAAACAAAACAACAAACAATCACACACACACACACACACACAGGCATATTACACTGTCACACACACACACACACACAGGCATATTACACACTGTCACACACACACAAACAGGCTCATTACACATCCTTCACACAACCGACGTACGCCAGAATTGTTTGAAACCGTGACGAATGCTAGTAGATGTCGTAATACTTGCTGACTTTCTTGTCAAACTTACCAGCACCAAAAATAGAAAAAATAAATGTAAATATATATATATATATCATGTGCAAGTCAGTTCAGTAGTAAAAGTTTTTCGGTGCTCACAACTAGACAGTAGGTCACAGGAGCGTGCAAAATATAGCGTAGGGTATACGTGGAATTGATCATCACGAAAAACTGAACGGAATAGAATGCCCTTGTCACCTCCCTGTGAGCTTGTGGGAGGTGCCCCGTGGAGTGCCCCATGAGGGAGGTCCCCCGAGGAGTGCCCCGTGAGGTCCCCCGTGAGGTGCCCCGTGGAGTGCCCCGTGAGGGAGGTCCCCCTTGAGGTGCTCCGTGGAGTGCCCCATGAGGTGCCCCGTGGAGTGCCCCATGAAGGAGGTGCCCCGTGAGGGAGGTGCCCCGTGACATTTCTCTATCTCTGTGGGTCTCCCACTCACACAAAGCTTTGAGTTCCCTCAGTGAATGTATTCAGCAAGTCATAAGAAAACAGTGAGATCTCTATCTGAGCCGGATCAAATCATCACTCATCAGCAACCACAGATCTATACTGGTCATGTCCCAATAATTGAGGACATGGGGGCAGGTTATAAAAACATACATGCAAAAAAAGCCTAACCCCATGAGTCCACAAGCCACAAGAGGCAGCCAGAACACAAGAATCTCTGAGTACGTTAATACGGAGAATTCCAAACAGCTGGGGACGTCCAAATGGAACCACCATCTCTGACACGGGAGGCCAAATGGGTGGAGAGACTTAAAAACCCCCAACCAACTTAAGTGAAAAAGGCCCAGTTGGAGATTCGAACCCCCACCATCCCCTCCATAGTCCAGCATGAGAGAAACAACAACTTCAGGCACAATCTCAGCAGCAGGAAAACAAAACAAAACATGAAATCTTTTCCGGGATAATAGTTCTGGGGTAAAAATAGACGCAGACAAATGCGGAATATTTGGAGGTGCATAGGCGCCCGTGGAAACAAACAGAAAACTTGTGCGATTCTGTACTTGACATTAAATGTAAGAATGAACATTTCAACATAAACACCTGGTGAGTGCACAGTGAATTTTTCATCCCCCGAGAAAAATTTCACTTGCGGCAAAATATTCTAAGCCAGATTTCCAGCCTTTTCTCCCCTGATTGGTTGGAAAAATCTTCCGTCATTTAGATCTAGAGGTCCACAGCTAGGCACGGTGCACAGACTTCCTGGCAGACCTACCATCACTCTCACAATCACCCCCACCATCACCCTCACAATCACCCCCACCAAGATCAGTGTGAGATGAGTCATTTAATGGCATGAGAGCACACATCACATTATAAGTTCCTAAGACACCGATGTCCCCAATTTTGTACAAGCTCATCAAACACAAGAGAACAGAACCAATGTCATCAACAGCAGCATCAACAAAACAAACATTCCTGGATTTCTCAAAGTATTCACAAAGTAGGTCACACAAAGTAGGTCGCACAAAGTAGGTCACACAAAGTAGGTCACACAAAGTAGGTCACACTCAGCGGGTGACCAGACATTGGCTAAGCAGACGTCCACAGACACAGGTCTCCCCACCACGTCCCCCGAGATTGTACCTACACATGACCATGCAGCACACAAACATTTTCGCTTTGATAAACAGAAAAATGCAAGATCAAAGTCCAGGAAATTTCCTACAATGGAAGATGTTTTCTGACACATTAACACAATTTAAAGAATGCGAGGACATGTTCAAAACAAGATGTCCCCCGGACACATGACACAATTTAAAGAACATAAGTACATGTTCCAATGTAGAAGAGGCAAAAGCAATAGCGTGCTCAGTTTGAGACAGACGTTCCCAGCCAGCGACAGGTCCAGCCATCTCCTCGAGGCAGCTGTGGGGAGACAACTGCCACTATTTTGGAATTCATTTTCAAAGCTAAGGACAGGATTTATTACATTTCAGAATGTACAACAACACTGATATTCAAAGACACATTTCAGGTACGATGTACCCAAATTTTACATTTCATGTATGATGTATAGAAATTTAACATTTCAGGTATGAGGAACAGAAATTTCACTTTTCAGGTATGGTGTACCGAAACTGTGGCACCAACGATGCAATCTTCAAACAGCACAAAAGGTGGATCATGACAGGACAAAGGTGGATCATGACAGGACAAAGGTGGATCATGACAGGACAAAGGTGGATCATGACAGGACAAAGGTGGATCATGATAGGTTCATAATGTGTGTGCAACATCCTGATTACACTGTAAAGTTATCTAAGGGGCAGAACCTGTGACTTGAACATCCGTCTCCAATTGAGATAGGCCGAGTGGGGAAGACACTGTCCAATTCCAATCACTGTCGTCTCCACCCATCCCTCAGCCATGAGAGTAAAGCAGGGCGGCCCTGGTACAGTGACACCTTTGTCTGGATGTCTTTCCCTGGTACAGTGACACCTTTGTCTGGATGTCTTTCCCTGGTACAGTGACACCTTTGTCTGGATGTCTTTCCCTGGTACAGTGACACCCTTGTCTGGATGTCTTTCCCTGGTACAGTGGCACCTTTGTCTGGATGTCTTCATGGATTTACACATTATTAGCTGCACATGTGTGGGTGTCTGTGCGTTTTGACAGCGTGCGTGTGTGTGTGTAGGTGTGTGTGTTTGTGTGTGTGTGTATGTGTGTGTGTGTGTGTATGTGTGTGTGCGTGTGTGTGTGTAGGTGTGTGTAGGTGTGTATGTGCGTGTGTGTGAGCTTGACAGAAATAAAGAACACATGAGCAATGTCCAGCTTTGGCTGAGTGTCCCAGGGACAGTGACAAACCCCCTGAGCGAGTCAGACACAACGTATGTGTGGGGGACAGAACGTATGTGTGGGGGACAGAACGTATGTGTGGGGGACAGAACGTATGTGTGGGGGACAGAACGTATGTGTGGGGGACAGACACGCTTTCCGTCACAACAAGGGCAGTAAGTCCTGCAGATTGCGCCGAGACGGACACAGAAATGATGGAAGACACAAGTAGCAGTCCCAGTCAGCCTCACAGACTTTCCCCCAACACAGAAGTGTGGGCAACAATGAACAGGCCCTTTTGAAATGTCAGGTTCAAGATCTGACCAGAAATAAGCAAGTGTGGGATTGTGGAATGAACTCTGCCTCTATCAATGTGATAGAACAGTAGCCTCCCTCCAATCTCTGGGCAGAAATTCTAATTGTTTCAATGTTTTATTCAATGCCTTTCCAGAAACTGTCCATCACTATCACAAAACAAAATCATTTCAAAGACCAAAAAAAAGTTGACAGTTCCCTACGATTCTCAAGCTCTGGAAGTTACCAGACTGTGGCGGCCATTTTCTCCATCAAAATCTCCACTTCTGTTCTAAATAGGTCGGTGTTTTCTCCCAGAAAGCAAGACCAAAGAACAAGTTTTACGCTGACACCAACAACCCCACACGGCCCTGCTATGACCAACCCCTGATCCCAGCACGCGACACATTTCTCCCCAACAAGGATCAGTCATCATGGACAACTTCCACACAGTTTCCTAACCATACAGTACAAAATATTTCAGACCAGAGTTATAAAAAGGAATCCCACCCCCCTTCAAATCAGCTGTCCTTATTTTCCAGACTTCATGCGAAGTTCATGAACAATGTAAGTCCATCAGGCAGTAGCTACAGTCACATAAGCACCAACGTCGCTCAGACCATGTCAGGGAAATAACCCAGCAATGACATAAATAATCAACAACGTCGCTCAGACCAATGTAGGGAAATAACCCAGCAATGACATAAATAATCAACAACGTCGCTCAGACCAATGTCAGGGAAATAGGGAACAATGTTGGTCAAACATGCACCAAGCAATGACATCACACAACAAAAAGCAATGACATCACAGCGACAGGCGTAGAGAGCAGCTTTGACGTCATGTTGACATTTTGATTGACGTCATGTTGACGTAGCGCTGGTGGAGAGCTGTGCACTGTCTGGGGGGAGGGGGTATGAGGGAAGAGGGTACGGGGCGCGGCGGTGTGCGTCCCACCAGACTCAGTCCAGGGCGGTCTTGATGTCGTGCTCGTAGAGAGCAATGAGCAGCATGATCCCCGAGCCCAGCACAATGCCCAGCACCTGGAACAGCAGGTGAAGAAACGGGTTCTCTCCCTTCTGCGTGTCCATCGAGCTCATCTCCGGCAGCTGAAAAACAAACACAGGAAAAAGAAAAGTGTTTTGTAAGTCTTAGTAAGAGTTTTATGGCACTTGGAACACAATACGTAATTCATTTAAAGTGCCGAAGATTAGAGGAGTTACAAGAGAGTAACAAACACACAAAAAGGAGAGATATATATTTTTTTTTTTTATGGTCGAGGGTTTTACGGCGCTCGTAACTGCATAAGGTCATATGAGCTCCAAGGGGTGGGTGTCAACAGAAAAGTCTTTACAGGGAATCAAACTTAGACTGCTCACCTCTCTAGCTTTAACAGCACAAGGTCTGCTTCGACTTTCAAGGCACCCCGGAAATAGCGGGTCACAAGAGAGTGACAAACATACGTAAGAAGTAGAAGGAAATGACAATAGTAAGGATTAGGAAAGAAAAAGCAGCAGTTCCCTGTTGTAGATCAGGCACAGTTATAAGTGTGACATGAGTCAGCCCATTTACAATTCTACTATGCTTGAACGAGAAATGTCCCCCCTTTGGGAATGGCCTAAAGACACTACAGTCAGTGGCACTGCTCCGGGGGGTGGAGGAGAGACAAGTACAATAGATGTTTCATAGAAAAGAAGCACCCACCAAGAGGAAGGGGAGGGGGGGGATTCTGGGGAAAAAATCATGCTACAAAATGGGTATGAGGCCACAGAAGCTTCGATCGGCTCTAATACTATAATACTAAAACTACAGGCCCGAAAAATGTTTCAGCATCAAACGGAAGAAGAAACATTTTGCAATAACTATGTCAATCAAAATCTCGGCCCCAGAGTCTCGTCAAGGCGAGACTTTGTTTCTAAAGACGCTAGGTCGGTACGGGTGAGTTAGGGTGTAATGTGTTAACATACAGGAATTGCATTAAATTGTATGTTACATACATTGTATGTCATAGTTCTTCACACCCTTCCTACATACGAGGTGTTCTCCACGTACACATAGTTTATTCACAACAGCTACAGAATAAACCACTTATATCCACAGCTGATGTATCGACATTTTGACATAACATAAACTAGATTAGAGATCATCAGAGTCAAATACCAGACAGTAGACACCCACAATGTACTGTACCACAAACTACCAGACAGTAGACACCCACAATGTACTGTACCACAAATATCACACAGTACACAGACACCCACAATGTACTGTACCACAAATGTCACACAGTACACAGACACACACAATGTACTGTACCACAAA